GACATTGACTTCTCCAAGACGGAGGTTCTTTGCAAACCAACCGGCTACCATGAGAGATTCGTTCATGAGGCCATTCACATATACAAGCACAGAGACAATTTCAACCGAGAAGATGGATTCTGGCCTTAGTAACCATTGGAAAGATGTTTTAAACCATTTCTGTTCTTAATTAATTGTATTTTACGATGACCTTCAGACCGCAGCTCTTTCGCCAGCATTGACTCTTAATACCTCTCACACCACGGTTAATGGTATGGTTTACAACATGGAGTATAACAGCGCCTCGCAGCTGTCTCTCTCCCCCTCCTCTGTTCCGACCATGGATGAACTCGTCCGTCTGAACGGGGCCCATAGCTATCCGTGTTGCTAAAGTTGAGGGTAAGAATCCACCCATTTTTTCGCCATATAGCATTGTGATATATAACGACTTATTATTGGTAGCTTAGCTGATTGGAGAATATAGAGTTTATTGATAACATTAAGGTAATTTATATTTTAGTTTTTTATTGGTTCACTATATAGTATTCATTATATATTGTATTGTATACCCAGTTACTGTGAATAGCTCAGATGTGTAGGCCTTGACTTCAACATAGCCATTTCTGTGACCAGTCACTAGCTAATCACTCAGTTATTTCAATGCTAAATTCGCCTAGTTATTTCAATGCTAAATTCTCCTGTTTGATTTGTACTAGGTGCCTCGGTGAATGTGTATGCTCTGACTTAACATAGCTATTTCTGTGACCAGTTACAAGCTAATCATTCAGCTATTTCAATGCTAAATTCTATGCTAATTCCTTTGTCAAGGGGTGCCTCTGCGGATGTGTATGCTTTAACTTAGCTATTTCAATGCTAAATTCTATGCTAATTCCTTTGTCAAGGGGTGCCTCTGCGGATGTGTATGCTTCAACTTTAACATAGCCATTTCTGTGACCAGTCACAAGCTAATCACTCAGCCATTTCAATGCTAAAATTATATGCTAATTCCTTTGTCAAGGCGCTTTGTTTCTTCTCACACAGCTTAAAGGTCGTGATCTGAGCGTGGCTCTTCACTTCAGTGCTGTCCTACCAGACAGTCTCGTCCCTTCACCTGATGAAGGCCGCTTGTGTTGTGGCCGAAACGTCGTGAGAATATTATTGTGTTATTTTATTTTATCAATTTATTATTTTATTCTCATTCTACGTGACTTTACCGAAAGAACCAAAGAAGATGAATCCTTGCAGTCACGAAAGCTTTAAATCGAAAGATATGAACTGTTCTATATATTCTAATGCAAGGATGATAACTTAAAAACATGAATTGCTTCCAACATGTATTTATTAAACATTTTAATTGAAATTTAACAATCAAACATAGAACAATTGTTAAGTTAAATAAAGTTCTAATCATAAAAAAATAAAACAATTCCAATAAGAAATAATAGGACATTTCAAATCGCAGCCTTTGCGATTTCAAATTGCGATTTCCATTTGAAATCGATTAATCGTTCAACCCTAGTCTGTGTTGTCACCACTGCTTTTCAAGCTATATGTTCAGCCACTGGGAAACATCACTTGGAGGCATGGTCTGTGTTACCATCAGTTTGCTGATGGCAACACAGATCTATGTCCCATTTACCAGCGCATCCGAGTCGCGACTTTGCATTGTCAGTTTGTCCGACAAAACAGAGAAAATGATGATGGCCTCTGATGCGAGATTTAGGTTTGGCCAGGGTGAGGTTGAACTTCCGCGCATAAACGGGATCTAACTTTGCACCTTGCCCAGAGTGTGTATCCTCAAGGGGTTTATTAGTCAGTAGCCTGAACGTGCGTGCCAAGGTAGCAGCTGTGGTATAAATTTGTAGGGCAGGGGGGTCCATCTTCACCAATTCCTTGGTTTGTGCTCTCTCTTGTCAGCTGCCGACCTTGAATCACTGATCCATGCCTTCGTATTGACGCTTCTTGGTATATGGTAATGGACTGTGTGCAAATCTCCTACGTGTCCTGGTTCAGAAACTTCAGCCATGGCAGAACACAGCAGCTCGAATGCCGAGGCGCATTGCCCCGCTTCAAGCGCATTCACCCCCCTGCATTGGCTTTCGATCAGCTTCTGTATTGACTGCAAGACGGCTATTTTGACCTTTAAAACTCTGCCCGGTCTTAGACCTACATACCTGCGGGTCCGGTTGGTCCCTCATACGACTGGGGCCTATGTGTTACGATATTCAGAACGGGGCCTACTGTTCCAGACACGGATCCTGCACCGCATGCTGGGTGGCCGGCCCTTCTTGAGTGCCGCTCCTCGGACCTGCAAAGCCTTGCCGGCTGCGGCCAGCTGCGCTCCGCGCCTCCGCGTGTTCTGGAGGGAATGAATTACTCATTGCTTCCCCAGTTTTCCTTTAGATGCAGATCATCGTTCCATTACTATTACTACTACTAGCTTGTTTGCCCGTCCTAGAATGTCTGTGATCCAAGAATGTCTGTGTGTCCCGCACGTGACATCACTCCACATGACGCACCCCCCGTCATTAATATTCATGAGCGGGTGGATTTTTACAATCACGCAGAAGGTCGAGCGGAAATGGGTTTTTTCGCAAATTCGCAATAAGTTTGACGTTTCTTTATTGAAAGTGAAGCTAATAAATAATTCTACGCAGTAACAAAGTGGATTTGGTGTCTTTATTTATTTATTCAGCACTTGAGACAAAAGGTAAGTCTAATTTATGCTTCTACATTATGGTAAAATACACATTTCTCGGTGATTTTCCAGATATTGTATCGATTTACAATTTATTTCAACCCCGCGACCAAAAGCAGAAGAGAATAAAGTATCAGAGCAGTGAATTTGAACAAATTGAAGGTCAAATTTCGATTTAAAGCTTTCGTGACTGCAAGGATTCATCTTCTTTGGTTCTTTCGGTAAAGTCACGTAGAATGAGAATAAAATAATAAATTGATAAAATTAAATAACACAATAATATTCTCACGACGTTTCGGCCACAACACAAGCGGCCTTCATCAGGGTCAGTTATATACAGTGCTACAGTGAACTGCAGTGAAGTGTTTGATGATATACTTTCGTGCAAGATTCACTGCCATTAAATTGACACAAGATACAATTATACTCTGCTCAATTTTTTCGTAAATATTACAGCTTCCGTCCTCGGACGGGCAAAGAAGCTAGTATTTTATATTTGAATTTGTACAATGTTTTGATACCCCATTTGGTGTAGGTAATATTACATTTCAAATAAAACTTGTAACTGAAGATTATTGAACAAATGTAAGGCGCATAATATGGCTTCAATGCGTTACGCAATTTTCTATAATGATGCATTTTACCTTGGACTGCCTCACTGAATCTCAAGACGCTTTCAGGAGGGCCCTGCTACTTTGGGATTTTTGGCCAATTCCAATAATGAGACTTTGGCTTTGCGTGGGAGGAAAGCGGAGAACCCGGGGAAAACTCTCCACATATTGGAAGGGGTGACACTCAAATCTCTGCACAGATAGATTCAAGAATTCATGGCTGTGCTGCCATCTCCTGGCCACCTCGCAGCCAGCAACAACCCTGTTTACTCCTACGCAGCCTCCCACTCAAGCAGTAACCAGGCTTAGCCTGGCTGGCAGTGTAAGACACATCCATCATGCAAGTGGAGAATGTAGTAAACTACATACGCATCCTCCACATACATTTCCTCTTGTCCACGGAAAACATGCGTGTGTTTTATACATGCCATCAGTCGCACGGCCTTTGAGAGGGCATCATTTTAGCAGCATTCCTTAAATATAAGGAAACAACTGTGAACCGGTTTTTTTTTCCCCCCAGATAAACATCGAGCAACTTTACAGCACTGCTACACGAGCACGCGTGACTGCCGACAATATATTCTCATGTCGAAATCGGCCAAAGGTCACCTCCGATTAGCATAGTTGGCTACGTACGGTGCGAAAGAAATTCAACATACATACAGTTAGCATTGAATCAATGATGCTGAAATTATTCATTCTCAAAAGACAGCTGCTAGGATGTGTAAAACATGTATTTTGATTTGTTTTACGTGGAGGAACAGAGACGAGCGAAGTATATATGTGTGTTTGTTACGATTTTCTATGATGACGGAAAGTCCAGCCTTGGGACACGAGCAACACCGGGGAAATCCCAGACCACAAACCCCGTACGGAGTGGAGTCGGGTGGAGTGGAGTTCTGTGCAGTGGTTGATGTGGAGTTGAATAGTGTGGTGTGGGGTGGTGTGGCATGGTATGCAGTTTAATGTCGTGGTGTAGAGAGGAGTAGAGTGGTCTGCAACGTAGTGGTGTAGAGTGATGTGTTGTGGAATGGTGTGGTGTGTAGGGGTGAGGTCTGGAGGGGAATATAGGAAGTGGTGTGGAGTGGTGTTGAGTAGCGTGGTGAACAGGGGTGAGGTGTGAAGTGGGGTAGAGTGATGTGCTGTGGAGTGGTGTGCAGTGAAGTGGTTGTAAAATGGAATGGATTTGTGTGGAATGGTCCAGAGTGGATTGGAGTGCTGCGGAGCCGTTGTAGAGTGGATTGGTGTGCAATGTAGTGTAGTGTTGTAGGATTGGGGTAAAGTGAGTGGTTTTGAGTTGTTTGGTGGGGGGGGTCAGACATTTGTGACGATGTGTGACGAGGGGGGGGGGGGGGGTGAGAAATGTGACGTCACATCAAAATGCCACAACTTTAAATATATATAGACAACACGTTCTGCTTAATAAAATATAATTTTTAATAAATGTTTTTTTTCCTACAACATCAGAATGCAGCGCCACATTAAATACGCACTACAATGACAATAGTTTAAAGCTTATTTGAAGCATGTTTTATTTTCAAAATGGAAATATGGTTTGGGGGGGGGGGGGCAGAGCTTTATGCGTCATATTTGAGGGGGGGGGGTCTGACTTTTTGTGACGCCGTGTGGACGAGGGGGGGGGGGGGTCAAAATCGTCTAAAATCGCGTGACGTCATTTATGGACGGCCCCTAAGTGGTTTAGAGTGGTGTGGGATGGAGTTGAGTTGTGTGGATTGGAGTGGGAGGGGAGTGGGGTGGATTGGCGCTGAAGTTGCAGATTGTTTCAACTTCTCTATTTGGTCCGGATGTCACGGCTCTGGGCTCTGTTCGGGGCAGCATTTCCTATTATTAAAGCGACCGTGTTTGTCTCTCTCTACCCGTGACCCTCTCTCTCTGCATTTGCCTCTTCCAGTGTCTCTCTCTGTGTCGCCCCTGTATATCCCTGTCTCTCTCCCCGTGTCTTTCTCTCTCCCCTTATCCCTTATATCCCTGTCTCTCTCCCCGTGTCTTTCTCTCTCCCCTTATCTCTCTGTGATAATGGATTAGTCACGCGCTGCTTGGGAGGCGAGTGACGCAGTGGTCACTTCCTCGTGCTCAGTTCGCTGGGGCACGCTTTGCAGGTAGGTCCGCTCCGTGAGATGTCTTCATCGGGGAGCTCAGTGCGTGTACTCGCTAGTGTGTACACGCACACGGCTACACGGGTTTGTGCACGGTACACATTCACACGGGTCTGCGTACATACACATTCACGCGTTTACACCGGTTCGTGTACACATTCACACGGCACATGGGTCTATGTACACTCCGTGGTGCAGGGTGCAACAGGCGCTTCGTGCGGCGTGTCTCGGGGCGGCTGTCGGTGCCACTTCAGTTCCATGCCGTCCTTTTGGTCGTTCACGGAGGGCGCTTCCGCGATGCCGCTCTTCGTGGTGTGCTGGACCACCGCCACCTTCGGAACCAGCTACCTCACGGCCGCATTGCGCGGGGACGTGGATCCCATACTGCCCTATATTAGGTACACACTCATCTGCCTGCGTACTCACCCGCCTCCGTGCTCAGCACTCGCCTGCCCACTCACTCGCCTGCCCACTCACTCGTCTGCCTACTTACATGTCCGTGTGAGCAGTGACACGGCTGGGCGCCCCCCAGAGAGCTGCGTGTTTGGACTGATGCTGAGCATATCAGCGCTGGCAGGTAACACTAACCTGCTCACCACTCACAGACAACCACTCACTACACCGCTGATCACTCGCAGACATTTACGACCACCACCACACTGAGGTCCCGTGGCTTTGAAGGGAGGGCAGTGAGCGGTGTTCCCATGTGCACCGCGTTCCAGGGACGTGCGGTCAGGGGAGACAGGGGAGGCAGAGCCTCACCTGTCATACTCCAATGAAAATAGTTGTTACGAAAAGTAAAAAAAAAGAATAATAAAATAAATATTAATATTTTTCCACTGATCTGTGTTCTAAATGTCATTTCTGTACGATTCCAATCATTTTTATAGTCAAAATCGCCAAATTTGCGGAGCTCCGCTGCAAATACAAGAAGAGACGAGATTTTCCTCATCAAAACACTACACCATAGGGCCCGTTGCATCTCTGACCAGCACCACCTAGCCAGTGAGCTGGAGCACGTACACCAAGCCCTCAGGATGAACGGATACTCGGACCGTACAATCCGCAAAGCTGTCTCCCCAGCCATGCGGAGACAACCTTCTGAGAATCCAACCAAAACCATCACGTTACCGTACATAGCAGGGGTTACCAAAAAGATTTCCAAAATCTAAAACAAACTCAAGATCCAGGTTCGTTTCAACACAGTACACAAAATCCGTGATTTATTCCCATCTGTAAAGGATGTGATTCCTGACATGCAATACCCTGGTGTCTACAAGCTGAGTTGTGGTTGCGGCAGCAGTTACATTGGGGAAACGAAACGACATGCCTCGGACCGCGTTTGTGAACACAAGGCAGATCTGAAACACGGTAGGACCAATACCTGTGCTGTTGCTGATCATTGTTTTAACGCTGTGGGCTCACACGAAATAAAATTTTTCAAGACGGAGGTACTCTGCAAACCTACCAGCTACCCTCAGAGATTTGTTCATGAAGCCACCCAGATATTTTAACACAGACACAACTTCAACCGAGAGGATATGTACAAACTGAGCAATCATTGGAAGGACGTTATTAACCAGGTAAAGTCTTAACTGACTGTGATGTTTCCATCCTACCTGTCTATGTCAGCTGTTATTTCTGACTCTCTGTGTGTCTCTCTCTTTATGCCTCTCTCTTAGATCTCTCATGCTCACATGTCCTTTGGATTGCACTCTCATGCTCACATGTCCTTTGCATTGCACTCTCATGCCCTTGGATTGCACTCTCATGCTCACATGCCCTTTGGATTGCACCCTTTGGGTTGCACTCACATGCCTTTGGATTGCATCACTTTTCGTTCTTACATGAACATGCTAATTTCGCACATTAACATAGCCACTTCCGTGCCCTCTAATTTCTCACATTAAAAACATGCTAATCTCTCAAATTAACATAGCCACTTCCGTGCCCTCTAATTTCTCACATTAACAACATGCTAATCTCTCACATTAACATAGCCACTTCCGTGCCCTCTAATTTCTCACATTAACAACATGCTAATCTCTCACATTAACATAGCCACTTCCGTGCCCTCTAATTTCTCACATTAACAACATGCTAATCTCTCACATTAACATAGCCACTTCCGTGCCCTCTAATTTCTCACATTAACAACATGCTAATTTCTCACATGAACATCACTAGCCCCGCCCACTTCTTTATGACCCTTGGGCTACAACCATTTCAAACCTTTTAAAACAGTCTGCCTCAGCAGCAGACCAAGCCTTTCCCACCTGATGACGGACGCTTATGTTGCGCCCGAAACGTCGTGATTTATTTTATTTTATACCTACGTGACTTTACCGAAATAATCAAGAGTAAGAGACGAGAGATGAGGTAGCGACGAGCTCAGCCTTCCCTCTGATTGCGCAACCCCTCAGTAACTGGATGGAGCGCAGGCAATAAGCCTGTTACTATCTCAGTATGTCACACATGTAATGTTTGGAGACCCCTTCATTTCATGTCCTCGCCTTCCATACTCCAGGTAACTTATTTCACGTATGTGTATAAAGATATTTAGGCTCGCTGGTCTCGTCATGAAACTGCAATGAAAAAGCACCAGGGGAGGCAGCTATCACATCTGCCTCACTGAGGGAGACGTGTATAACACGCCCCCCTCAGTGATGCCACGCCCCTCTCCGTGAGGCCACGCCCCCTCAGTGTGTAACTCTGGCTCTGACACTAGCCAGTGCCTCCCCAGCCATTGACCTCACCGCACGCCACTGCCGTGTTCTCCGCGTGTGCACCGTGTACAGCCGCTCTCACGATGTTCGTACGCTACCGTCTGGTGGCGTACGCGACGTGTGGCCGCAGCTACGCCATCTTTGTCAACCGCACGGGGTTCGCCATCGGCCTCATCAGCTGCCTCGGGCTCCTCGTGGTCGCCAACTTCCAGGTGATAACGAGGTGGTTGTGATGGAGGAGAGGGTGGGGGTGTCGACGAGGTGGCTGTGATGGAGGAGAGGGTGGGGGTGACGACGAGGTGGCTGTGATGGAGGAGAGGGTGGGGGTGATGACAAGGTGGCCGTGATGGAGGAGAGGGTGGGGGTGATGACGAGGTGGCTGTGATGGAGGAGAGGGTGGGGGTGATGACGAGGTGGTTGTGATGGAGGAGAGGGTGGGGGTGATGAGGTGGCTGTGATGGAGGAGAGGGTGGGGGTGATGACGAGGTGGCTGTGATGGAGGAGAGGGTGGGGGTGATGACGAGGTGGTTGTGATGGAGGAGAGCGTGGGGTGATGACGAGGTGGCTGTGATGGAGGAGAGGGTGGGGGTGATGACGAGGTGGTTGTGATGGAGGAGAGGGTGGGGGTGATGACGAGGTGGCTGTGATGGAGGAGAGGGTGGGGGTGATGACGAGGTGGTTGTGATGGAGGAGAGGGTGGGGGTGATGACGAGGTGGCCGTGATGGAGGAGAGGGTGGGGGTGACGACGAGGTGGCTGTGATGGAGGAGAGGGTGGGGGTGACGACGAGGTGGCTGTGATGGAGGAGAGGGTGGGGGTGATGACAAGGTGGCCGTGATGGAGGAGAGGGTGGGGGTGATGACGAGGTGGCTGTGATGGAGGAGAGGGTGGGGGTGATGATGAGGTGGTTGTGATGGAGGAGAGGGTGGGGGTGATGAGGTGGCTGTGATGGAGGAGAGGGTGGGGGTGATGACGAGGTGGCTGTGATGGAGGAGAGGGTGGGGGTGATGACGAGGTGGTTGTGATGGAGGAGAGCGTGGGGTGATGACGAGGTGGCTGTGATGGAGGAGAGGGTGGGGGTGATGACGAGGTGGTTGTGATGGAGGAGAGGGTGGGGGTGATGACGAGGTGGCTGTGTTGGAGGAGAGGGTGGGGGTGATGACGAGGTGGTTGTGATGGAGGAGAGGGTGGGGGTGATGACGAGGTGGCCGTGATGGAGGAGAGGGTGGGGGTTACGACGAGGTGGCTGTGATGGAGGAGAGGGTGGGGGTGATGACGAGGTGGTTGTGATGGAGGAGAGGGTGGGGGTGATGACGAGGTGGTTGTGATGGAGGAGAGGGTGGGGGTGATGACGAGGTGGCTGTGATGGATGAGAGGGTGGGGGTTACGACGAGGTGGCTGTGATGGAGGAGAGGGTGGGGGTGATGACGAGGTGGTTGTGATGGAGGAGAGGGTGGGGGTGATGACGAGGTGGTTGTGATGGAGGAGAGGGTGGGGGTGATGACGAGGTGGCTGTGATGGAGGAGAGGGTGGGGGTGATGACGAGGTGGCTGTGATGGAGGAGAGGGTGGGGGTGATGACGAGGTGGCCGTGATGGAGGAGAGGGTGGGGGTGATGACAAGTTGGCCGTGATGGAGGAGAGGGTGGGGGTGATGACGAGGTGGCTGTGATGGAGGAGAGGGTGGGGGTGATGACGAGGTGGCCGTGATGGAGGAGAGGGTGGGGGTGATGACAAGTTGGCCGTGATGGAGGAGAGGGTGGGGGTGATGACGAGGTGGCCGTGATGGAGGAGAGGGTGGGGGTGATGACGAGGTGGCTGTGATGGAGGAGAGGGTGGGGGTGATGACGAGGTGGCTGTGATGGAGGAGAGGGTGGGAGTGATGACGAGGTGGCTGTGATGGAGGAGAGGGTGGGGGTGATGACGAGGTGGCTGTGATGGAGGAGAGGGTGGGGGTGATGACGAGGTGGCTGTGATGGAGGAGAGGGTGGGTGTGATGACGAGGTGGTTGTGATGGAGGAGAGGGTGGGGGTTTCAATCCGTCACGACCCCCCACGTGTAGAACACCACGGAGTTCAAGGTGCACATGACGGGGGCCGGGTTGGCGTTCGCGGGGGGCGCCCTCTACTCGACGCTGCACGCGCTCCTCTCGTGGTGCACGGAGCCCCGGGGGCTCGCGTGTGCGCGTACCGCCCTCAGCGTATGGAGCCTCGCCAGTGGCGTCACGAGCATCCCACGTGCATGTGTGTGTACACGTGTGTGTGTAGGTCGACTCAGCCTCAAATGAGTACCTGGTGCAGTGTGTAAACATTGCCACTAAGGAGACAAAGGCGGTCGGGCGTGGTGCTGGCCACCCACCCCCTCGTGTACCGTTCCGGCCTTCATAGGTGCTCGCTAACAGCATTTGCCCCTACAGTCTGTTAAGGCTACACGGGGGATCTTTGTTATCTTTGTGTGTGTACAATATTTGTACACATTTTACAATATGTGTGTTAAGATCGGCCTCGATGGAGGAGGCTCGTGAAGGACGCTATTGGGCAATTGGAGGCAGTCGCCATCCAGCAACAATGGAGGACAGAGGAGCGGACACTCAAACATCAAGTTGGCACAGTGGGGGGTACAGCTGGTGCATCTACCGGTCATCTCAGTCAGCCAAACCAAGGCACCTGGGTCTATCCCGAGACCTCCTGTCAGCGAGCCTTCGACACTTCACGTGGCCACAAAGTGAACCTGGCATAGCACAGGCGCCATGGTCAACTCACTGTCACTTCGTGGTGAAGGTGAATAGCGGGGATTAGTATTGGTGTGTACATTTATGAGCGGCAAGTGCCACGGTTAGCGTGCAGCACCATGAACTCGGCGACTCGAGTTCGATTCCCGCTCATGGCCAACACCAGTGACGATGATCTGAACCGATCCTGGGCCTTCTTAAGTCGACTCAGCCTCAAATGAGTGCATGGTACGGTGTGTAAACATCGCCACTGGGGAGACAAAGGCGGCAGGGCGTGGTGCTGGCCACCCACCCCCTCGTGTGCCGTGTCCACCTTCATCGGTGCTCGCCAACAGCACTTTCCAAAACAGTCGGTAAGGCTATATGGGGGATCGTTGTCTTTATTTGCGTGTGTACACGTGCGTTTAGTGGTGAGGCGATATGGGATATCTTTGATTTTGTGTACACGCGTGTGTGTACCAGTGTGTGGTGAAGTGGTGAGGGTCGGTGCTGAGGGTAGGTGGTGCAGTGGTGTGGGTGGCTGTTACCACCTTCCCTGTGTAACCTTAACCCAGTAACTGCTGCAGTGGTGGTCGCTGTCTGCCTCGCCACTTGGGACCTCACGTACAAGTACCAGGTGCCTCCCCCGCCCGCCACACCATCACCACCCTCACGGCACCATCACCCTCATGGCACCGCCACCACCACCAACCTCGTGGCATTATCACCACCTTCAAGGCACCACCACCACCAACTTCGTAGCATCACCACCACCTTCAAGGCACCACCACCAGCACCACCCTTACGGCACCACCGCCTCCACCACCTATGGCTGACCACACCTCACCCCGCAGACTAAGACTCTGCTCCGAGTGTCCGCCGCGGCCGAGTGGAGCCTCGGGGTTTCCTTCCTCACGTTCTTCCTCACCTTCATCCGCGACTTCCAGGTGTGACTCCCACCCCAAACACCCATTGTGTAGCCTTTAACAGACGTTTGTAGCACCGATGAAGGTCGTCACATGAGGGAGTGGGTGGTTATCTGCCATGCACAGTGACATTGTAGCAAAAACAGCCTCTTCACCACTAAGTGGCAGTCACGTCACCACGGCGCTTGCACCAGGCCATGGACACTTTGAGGCCACGTGAAGTGTCGAAGGCTCTCTGGCAGGAGGTTACGCGATGTACATAGCCAACTGCGCTAATCGGAAGTGCGGGGGAAGGATAAAAACTAAACACATAATAAAGCAGTTCGAAAGAAATTAGTTTTCCATCGAGATTTAAAAGTGCATAGCTCCAGTGGCTTATTAATATCGTAAGAGCGTTCCAGATGGCCGAAGAAGCGCATTTGAAACCACTCAGGGGCAAAGAAAAATCCCTCATAGCCTTAACAGACTGTAGAAGTAAGTGCTGTGAACGAGTGTTGAACTTTTTTTGCACCGTACGTAGCCAACCGTGTTAATCAAGTAGCAGCGCCTATGAAGGTCGGCACTTCACACGAGGGAGTCAGTGGCCAGCACCACGCCTGACTGCCTGTCTCCATAGTAGCGATGTTTACATTTGATACCAGGTACTCGTTTGAGGCTGAGTTGACCTAGGGGAGGGCCAGGGCAGGTTCAGATAATCGCGATTGGTGTAGCCCGTGAGCGGGAATTGAACTCGGATAGCCGGGTTCGTAGCGCACTCCCGCTTCCCACTCAGGGACACACACAGTGACAGACACTCAGACTCGGCTGGACCCTCACCCCCCCCTGACCTCCGCAGGGCATGAGATTCCGTGTAATCGCGGAGCAGAGTCCGGAGCATCAGGGTTTGCTGGACGAGAGGAGGCAACTTCTTCCCCAGTGAGGTCCTTGCGAGGACTCAACACGCGTCATTCCGAGCCTCACCCGAGATGCAACCCTTTCCTCTCAGACCTCGTTTCCGTCCCCATCCCCGCGGATCCCACAGTGGAGGCCATGACAATGATATAGTGTTGATCGCGTTTTTATATTGAATTATTTTTATACCAATCGCGCTGCACTTATATTGAATAACCACGTGAATAAATGACTTGACTCACGGAGGTACCAGACACGAGGTCACTGCGAGATGCGGGTTTTTATTGAGGGGGGTGGGGGCACGGGGGAGCGCTCAAGAGCGGTGCACACCGCTCAGAGACAGCAGCCACTGAGGTGGAGCCAGAAGACCGTGGGTGCTGGGGCCCCGACCTCTCTCGCTTCACTTGTAGCCGTAGTTACCTCCTCCCATGCCGCCGTTGCTTCCTCCTTTTCCAAAGCAGCACTGCTTCACGGGCCGCTGGCAACATTGCTGCGTCTGGCAGCACTGAGGGCCCTTTGAGGAACCGCCCCTGGAACTATGGCCCCACCGCTTCCACAGAGAGCCGCACCCCACCTCCTCCTCATCCTCCTCCTCCTGCTGCTGCTGTTCCAGCTGAGGACGCCCGCTGGCCCCGACCTTGCAGGGCCATTGAGGCGGTGGGTAGGGATGCGGCGGCGGCGCTGGGTAGGGCTTGGGCTGGGGCCACATCGGGTGCGACTTGCACACCCACTGACACCGCGGGGGCGACGGGCAGCACGGCGAGGGATGCGGCTTGCAGGGCCAGTGAGAAGGATCGCTCAATGGGCGCTGATGGTCTGAGTAGCTGCCGAGGGATAACACACAACGTGCACACACGTGTCGACTCACGGCCATGGCGATACACCGAGGGGCTCAACTTCACCGCAACTCACAGCTCAGTCCACCGACACTGCTACATTCCGCACACGTGTTTAACAGCAGGCACCTCCATTTAACTACAATATATAGAGAGAGGCGCACTGCGTTTACAAACACTCTCAGCCTTATCCACAACCAGATCAAAATACTAACTGAATTTGTGGCCATGTGCTTCAGGCGAGCAACTGCATTAAAACACCAACAACAAAGGTGCAATTCGATTCTGCTTTGGAGCATTTTCCCGGAAGGCCGGTAAAGCGATGGCCTGAACTGACGACAGTGAATGCACAACACACACACGGCAGGCGTGTACTGGCGCGCAGGTACACATGACAACAAACACAAAGATACCCCTGAAAGCCTTAACAGCATTTTAGGGCAAATGCTGTTAGCGAGCACCTATGAAGGCTAGCAAGGTACACGAGGGGTGGGGTGGCCAGCACCAAGCCCTAGTGGCGATGTTTACATATCACATCAGGTACTCATTTGAGGCCGAGTAGATCTAGGGGAGGCCCAGAACCGGTTCCAATATTCGCCACTATTATAGGTCGTGAGTGGGTCAAACCCGGGTCGCTGGGTTCGTAGCCTAGCATGTGAACCGCTACACTAACGCTCCCCACGCTTAAACAGGCACACAGGTACACACTGATAGATACAGGCAGACACATATACACGCTAACACACTCACAGAAGCCACACCGACACAAACGGGCAGAGCAATTGTAACTGCTTCAAGGCTCTTACACACACACAGAGCCACACGTAATGTGGATGAGAGCGCTTCAGAACCATACCTCATGCCGGGTCTGGAGACGCACGTGGATCTGGAAGAATGGAAGAGGCAACGAACGGATGCTGTGGCTGGTCGGTGCTCGTGTCCCGGGATTTATATCGTGACCGGGCGGCTCGAGGCGGGGTCCCATGCTCATTGCTCGTGATCCGTTAATTAACGGCGATTAATGAGTAATGGCCCAATTATCAGCGGGTGCTGTGGGGGCCCAGGGTTGAGTCTCCAGCCGGGGCCAGGGTGGTCCCAGGGCCCGACTCAAGAGCGGCTCCTCCCGCGCAAGCCAACAGTGTTAACTTGCTTGTTTAACAAGAGCCCTTAATTATATTAATCACCCAATTTACAATGATGACCCTCAATTGCACTAATTATGGTGGGGGTGAGGAGTGTGACATCACTGGTGATTGATTTGCATTGGGGGGAGGGGATGGTGAAAGATGATGGCAGTGGGCGGTAGGGAGCTGAGAGGGGGCCCCCCCAGGGTCCTGGTGGGGTTGTGAGACTCGCACGGCCGGTACTTGACCCCCAGCAGCTGATCCATGTGTATTCTCCAACGAGGTCCCTTAGATCTTCGGATCGCCTTCTTCTGACTACTCGGAGGATAAGGCTCATTTTCTGCAGGATAATCGGGCTTCTTCCAGTACAGCTCCCAAGCTTTAGAACAACGATTTGCCTTTGCTAATAAGACAATTAGAATCTTCTTTGGTTCTTTCGGTAAAGTCACGTAGAATGAGAATAAAATAATAAATTGACAAAATAAAATAACACAATAACATTCTCACGACGTTTCGGCCACAACACAAGTGGCCTTCAGGTGAAGGGACGAGACTGTCTGGAGGACAGCGCTGGAGCGAACAAAGCCACGCTGTCCTCCAGACAGTCTCGTCCCTTCACCTGATGAAGGCCGCTTGTGTTGTGGCCGAAACGTCGTGAGAATTTTATTGTGTTATTTTATTTTATCAATTTATTATTTTATTCTCATTCTACGTGACTTTACCGAAAGAACCAAAGAAGATGAATCCTTGCAGTCACGAAAGCTTTAAATCGAAATTTAACAATCAGAATCGTTAAATATATTCAAGTCTGTATGAAAAGACTCATCTCTTTAAACTGGCCTTTACCCGCATCTGGTTCTGGCCGTTTACCCTGGTTCGGAGCGAGTGGTGAGCAGGTGAACGAGTGGGTGAGTGAGTGGGCGAGGAGGTGAGGTTGAGTGGGTGAGCGAGCGGGTAAACTGGCTTCTACTCACACCTAATTCTGGTCGTTTGTCCAGCTGGTTGATTTTTTTCCTGCTTTCCATACACGGTGCGCATTGGGATCTACAGATGAAATGTGGCACTTGAAAAATGTAAATTATGATTTTGTCTTTTTTAGCAGTTTTACGAGTGGTTCCTGACCTGTGCTCCTCAGGCCTTGGCACGTGGTCTGCGGAACTGTTGCAGATACCATTGTATATAAAGGTAGTCCCCGACTTACGATGGTCCGACTTACGATATTTCGATCTTAGATGGCGATAGCGATATGACAAAATTATAAAATATTTTTTATTTCGCGCGGCAGGCAAACGCAGCAGCGTACGAGGTACAATACTGTACTTTATCATCGCCATCCTCCTCTTCTGACAACTAAGTTAATGTAGCCATCAACAACCTAACATCGTTCAAGTATGCAGACGACGGACAGAATCTTTGTGAGTACAGTAGAATATGATACGTTACGATACGTTCAATGCATGTATGATACATAGCTTTAGCGATTTAATTTTAAGGTTACCACGATACGATACATACGTTCAATGCATGTTCAAAGTTTTTATAGCAGATAGGATTGTTTCCTGAAAAAAACTTTCTATGAAATTGCAATTCATATAGGTAGGCTAAGAATTTACCTTGTTTTTGACTTTGAATTTGACTGCAACACAGTATTGTAATTAATAAATACATAGAGTATATAGTTTATACAGTATGGTACTGTAAATTGCTCTGTTTTGCTAAATTATCACCATTCTTTAAGACTCTTGGGTAGGCTAGGCCATTTTCGACTTACGATGGGGTCGTCGAAACGCATCTCCATCGTAAGTCGGGGACTACCTGTACTGCCCATTGCGCAACAACGTCGTGGCTCGGCAGAAGAGAAAGCGGCCCACAATAGGAAAGTTGCGAATTCAAATCCCTCCGGGGTCACCAAAAATTAGTACCGCTTTGTGGGGAAGTCAACAGTGGTTGTCCTATGGATAGACTCGCCCCTGCCAAAGAAACGTGGAATGTCCCCTTTTGGATCAGGGCTGTAAACTGATGGGCACCGCGTCAATACTCACTTGGATAAGAACACCCGCGTACTGCTCCGCCATTCAGATTGCGTTCGTTACTCAAACACAGCTGGGTAATGACTAATCTGAGGATTTCTGGCATTGGTTACTGATGAGTACAGTCGTTTACAGATTAGAAAAAAATATTGGGGCGTTTTCAACACAGTTGCTGAGCACAGGCACAAAGTCCCCAAGTGACTAGCAACAAGCAGCACTAATCACAGTTGTAACACGGAAGGTCCTATCATAGGTGCTCGTTAATAGCACTTGCCCCAAAAGTTTGTTACGGCTGTACGGGGGACTTTTTGTTTTGTAGTGACCTGCAGGATGGGGGTTGAGTGCTGGGTGAGTGAGTGGGTGGGTGAGTGGATTAACGAGTGAGGTTCATGGGAAGTCACCATGGTGGTGGTAGCGACACAAGCGTGGTGCGTGGTGTATACATGTTTTGAGGGTTCACTCTGGTCTATTTGGTCCCGAAATATTGGAAACAGGAACCACCAACGATTTGACACCCATGTTGACTGAGCCTAACCCAGTGCCGAGCAATTCCGTGCAATTATTGGATTACCTTCGCCTCTCCCAACACATTACAGGTCTGACACATAAAGGCCAGCTATGTTTTACACGTGGCATTACTCAAAGTCTCAGTCTCTCCCCTTTCTCCAACTCACATCGCCATCACAAACTATTTTGCAACATTGTTTGACATTAGAATCCCACGGTTACAGAAAACTAGAGTAACATTTCCATTCACTAAAATCAGCAGTTCATAATAAGTTGGAAGTTGGTTGAGTTAGCCCATCACTTTGTGGAGAAGTCAGCAATGGTTTGCCATACAAATATATTAGTATGTATGTTGAACTTCTTTCGCACCGTACCGTAGCCAACCGTGCGAATCAGAGCTGCAGGGGAAGGACAACAAACTAAACACCACCACGATGGGAACGTGGAACTTCCACCATTGGCAAGGAGCTGTAAACGGGAGATGAGCAGAGCCTCAATGGTCATGTGAACAGGAAGTAGCTTTGACTTACAGCTCAACCTTACTTGTTGCGTTCTGTGCATGTTAAGAGATTTAAACTGCGTGTACAGTACACGGACACGCTGGACTCGCAAGTGAGATGTTCCATCTCACCGAACCAACCAGTTTAAAGATTTCTATACCATATATATAAAAAAAATCCCCTTTCCAGGCAGTAGCCCCGTGACATCGTTTAGAATTACGAAAATTGAGTTCCTCTTTCCAATGTTCTCTCTCCACTTTAATTGCCAGCATCTCTGAGCAAACGCCAGCTGCCTCTCACTTAAAACTGTCGACTATTCTGTCGAGGAGTTCTGTGGTTTGAAAACCAAGTCGCGTAAATTAAAACTTTTAATGTACAAATTTGTAATGCGTCCAGTTATCGCAAGGACGTGCGGGAAAACAGACGATCGGGATGGCAGTCAAAACCGGCGTTGCAAACAAATGTCCAGGCTTTGTGGCCCTATATATTGTCATGTATGGCCAACTCGATTCATGATAATACATGCGGGTGCACCGAGAGGAAAACCGACGCATGCGAGGGGGGTAACCCGTACAGATGGAGCCGGGGCACCTGGAGTGGGTGGTCTCAGTCGGGGGTCAGGACTTCTGGCTGCCAATGATTCTGCTCAGATGATAACAAAGTACCTTCTCTGGATAGTCGATTACTTCATCAATAACCTGGGGAAGTTACTTACATTTGTGGACTTAGGTGCAGCCCCTTTGCCACCGAGGATCGACCATGCCATACTGCGACACAGCGTTCCCATTACAGCTTACAGAAGGTTCACGTAAAAAAAACATACCCACACATCCCCCGATGCTCGCCTCGCGACATTGCTTCCGAGCGCGTTAGTAAACCGCGAGGTTCTGCTTTTAACCCCAAAGGCACGGAATGACTCATGCTCTCTCGCCCAACTAAGCTCCTGTTTCTTCACCTGGGATACTCTCACCCAACTAAAATCCTGTACAGTTTTAAATCACACGTGAATACGTCTTTTTAAAAGGGATGTTACGTGTAACATAATTACAGTATTCTTAGCTCTTTCGGTAAAGTCACGTTGACGGGAAACAATAAAATAATAAAATATATATAAAACAATACAAATTCTCACGTTTCGACCATAACACAAACGGTCGTCATCAGGTGTGAAAAGCAACGGCAAGAAACATTTGAAAGAAGTGGTGGTTTGCATTTATTTATTTAAAAACGGTGTATTTATAAAAAAACGTTTGCGCCACGAGCAGCGATTTGACAGTTTATTTAGAAGGAAAAGTCCATATATGTTCTGAAAAGAGGAGGGGGGAGACGAAAAATTAATGTATGCTGTCTGAAAGCCACCGTAAGCGTGAACAATCAATTAAGACCTGAAATGGTTTATCAAATCCTTCCAATGATTGCTAAGCCAGAATCCATCTTCTCGGTTGAAATTGTCTCTGTGCTTGTATATGTGGATAGCCTCATGAGCGAATCTCTCATGGTAGCCAGATGGCTTACAAAGAACCTCTGTCTTGGAGAAGTCAATGTCATGTGAGCCTACTGAATTATAACAATGATCTGCCACGGCCGAGGTGTTGGTCCTACCGTGTTTAAGGTCTGCTTTGTGTTCACGAATGTGGTCCGAGACATGTCGTTTGGTTTCTCCAATGTAACTACTACCACAAATAAATAAATGCAAACCACCACTTCTTTCAAATGTTTCTTGCCGTTGCTTTTCACACCTGATGACGACCGTTTGTGTTATGGTCGAAACGTCGTGAGAATTTGTATTGTTTTATATATATTTTATTATTTTATTGTTTCCCTTCAACGTGACTTTACCGAAAGAGCTAAGAATATGAATTACTGCAGTCACGACAGCTTTAAATCAAAATATAATTAGTAGTTGATATCTTAAAATACTATGATGTATTTTTTAAGAGTTACTATATCGTAATATCGGTCGTAAAAGCCTTCATGTGAAATTTACTATATATATTTTACTTATTTTAATATCAGTTGCTGAGCAAAACTCCAAAGGCCCAAAACATCAAGTGGTCAGCAACAAACAACACCATCAAATTTGCAAGAGATAGGAGTTCCAGTTTATTCAGTAGGGAGGGAATTCCAAGGTATAGCAGTGCAAGGGAAGAGGCAGAAGGAGAAGTGATGTGACCTGCAGTGTGGTGAGTGGGTGGGTGAGTAGGTGCCTTGTCTATTGGAACATCTACGCAGGTTAGAAACATTCAGGCTGGCCTGCCTACGATCCATCCTGGGTTTAAGCAGGCAGGATTGTGTGAGCTCACAAATCCTTGAAAGATCTGGACACATTCCCATCAAAGTTCCTTCGGCAGGCAAGGCTGTGTTGGCTGGGTTGTACAATGTAGCCCGCATGCCCACCCAGGCGAGATAGAGGGGGATAAGTGAGCACGACAGGGGCTGTAAGAGATATGGAGTGATGTGGTGCCGGAGCTTGTGGAGCTGAGTGGACTTGCCAAAGACTGGTACCAGCGGTGTCAAGATCAGCCTCTATGTAGAAGGCTCGTGGAGGATGCTACTTGGGCAGTTGGAGGCAGTCGCCCTCCAACAACAATGGAGAGCAGAGGAGCAACGCTCACAACAACGAGTGGAGTGCCGGGTGGCTAAAATGCAGCAAATTGGCACAAGAGGGCAAAGCTGGTGCATCAACCAGTCATCTCAGTCAACTCATGGCACCTAGGTCTATTCCATGACCTCCTGTGAGCGAGCCTTCGACACTTCAAATGGTGTCAAAGTGCACCTGGCCTGGCACAGATGCCATGGTGACGTCATCGGCACTTCGTGGCGAATGGTGGGTGTTGTTGTCTTGTTGTGGCCTGCAGTGTGGTTGGTGGGTGATTGAGTGATCGATTGAGTTATGACATGCAGTTTAATGGTTGAACACTGGATGAGAGGAAACACAGTGACTGGTGGAGCACACACCTGCAACACAGGTGGATGATTCAGTCGGTGAAGATCACAGGATCAATAACCATAGTAGTGACAGAAGGGTGATGAGGTGACGAACCACCGGTGAGCAAGAGACTAGAGTGGCTCAGGGAGCGCTTATATTCAAATCGTTCATAAGTTGTGGGGCATTGTCAGGGCCAGACTAAGGTTATGATAGGAAGGAAGGGCCTAAGAAACGATTCCATGTTTCAAAAATGTGTATGTAGTCATCAAACATTATATTTATGTCTATATGAAACTAATCATTAAATCACTACACTAATTTTATTTTGAGCATTAGCTGTGGCAACGTCACAAATGCTGTCATAATTCAAAGGCAAATATGTTCCGATGGCCGCACTACCTTCGCTCAGCTGTAACTTCAATGTGGAACGAAGAGCCTAAAGGAGGGCCTACAAAATATGGCCTTTGGGTTAATTGGGCCCTGAGAATTGTGAAAGCTTTGCCTTAAAAGGAGATATGTAAAAAGGGTTGTTAAAATGTTTGTGTTTGCATCACTGCTAGTCACATAAAAAAGACGAGTACAAAACCAGTTACTGAGTTACTGCACATACAGAAATGTCCAGCGGTAAATGCATTCACCTCAACTGAGGAACGAAGATAGCTGCCGTAGTGGTGGCACGATGGTTGCCAAACTAGACGAGCAATCCAGAGTTTACCGGTTCAATTCCATCTCCCGACACGGCAGTGGAAACATCTCTTAAATCTCTGCAGTCGTAACATTCCACTGGACACCATTCCCAGTTCCTGACTTTCGGAATCAGTAATCGATTATGAAAGTAATTGCCAGTAGACTGGTTACCATTTAACAACCCTATAATAAAAATAAACTATTAACCGTATATATAAACTGATAAACCCGATATACAAATGTTGGCTGTTCACGTTATGGTGTTCTCTGGTCAAACACTGGTGAGACAAGGCCATAAAGGAGGCTGTGTGTGGTGTAGGCCAATAAGTTTCAAAGACGGAGCAGACATTCTTAAAGAATGTTTGCATGTTTTACCACACGCATGATGTGTGGTTAATTCAGACTTGATGCCTTGCAATAGGTGTCTATTTGGTAATGAACATCTTACCACCTATATTATTCCCAGAAAGGGTAAAGCCTATTCTTTTTAATAATTTTGATACCGGCAAAAATGGTCCCATAGAAATGTTGGCGTTTATTGAAAACACGGCACAAAGTGAAGGCACTGCACACGAACAGGGTCACACGATTAATTCATTGGAAAATGTTCCTCTTTGTCGGATTTTTGGCAGAAATGCACCGAGGCCTTTATCACAAACACAACCTGGGCAACAGGCATGGCGGCGTGCTTTGGCTCACTTGGCAACATCCGAATCCTGGCAAATGAAAAGCAGCTGAAAATGAAAACGCCATTTATTGGAGCCCTGAGATAGTGGCGTAAATTCCACATTCCCAGTGTCGTAGGCGAGCCTCTCCTCCGCAGGACAACTACTGTTAACTTCCCCACATCGTATTCTTGGTTCTTTCGGTAAAGTAAGTCACGTAGAAGGGAAACAATAAAATAATAATAATAAAAATTATAATAAAAAAATATTTTTATTATTTGACTTTACCGAAAGAACTTTACCGAAAGAACCAAGAATATGAATCCCTGCAGTCACGAAAGCTTTAAATCAAAATTTCCTCACATCGTGTTGCTCATTTTGGTCCAAAGGGGAATGAAGGGCCGGAGTCAACGCTCAGAGTATTTGAAATCACAACCTTCCAGCTGCTTACTCAACCATTGAGCCAGCTGGATTGCATGATAACCAAGTCAACATTTTCCCCAATGCATAACACTTACCCATGAGCCAACCAATCAGCTTTACCCCAAACAAACTCAACCGGCCACTGGTACGATTGCTACCTTTAATCCTTATCAACTAGGCAATTAGAGCTAGCCCTTCAACTAACCCCCTCACTTGACCTCTGGTTGAGGCTCTTAACTTTTCAGGTTTGGTTTCAGAGAAGAGATCAAGAGGAAGCATGAGCCACGTGCTGCTAAGCTCTTGTTTCACGGGCGATCGTTCGTTGAGCAGATTCTACGTGAGGCGCCCGGCCTTGGCCACCAGGGCTCACAGCTCCAGCAGCCAGAAGCAGAGGCTGCGGTCAGAACCACAGGCGCACAGAGGCAGCTGTGGGTGCCAGCTCAGGCCCGACAGCGCTGGCACCTTGCTCTCCAGCGCCGGCTACAGAAACACAAAGACAACAACAGTTATCACCATTCGCCAGTAAGTGGCAGTGTTGCCACACGGCGCTTGCGGTAGGCTTGGTGCACCCCGAGGCCACGTGAAGCGTCAAAGGCTCGGTGGCAGGTCACGGGACAGACCCAGATGCCATGGGTTGACTGAGATGACTGACCGATGCACCACCCTATCCCCCCTATTGTGCCAACTTGTTATGTTTTCGTCGCTCAGCGTATACACACATAATCGCAGAAGGACGAGTGGCCTACTGGCGCATTCACCCACAAAGGCGAGACACGAGCTGATGGCCAAATATACACTACAACAACAAGCTACTTGGTCGTGGCATCGCGGGCGTGTGACCAGAGCCTTACCTGTACGTGTGCCAGGTTGTGAATGAGCAGCGTTCCACTCAGCCGTCCAGGGGGACTTGTGGTGGCAAATACGCCCCCCACCGTACGGCACCAACTGCACCGGGTGGATATGACACGACCGTTGCAATAATACAACTACCGCAATCAACACTGCAAGCACAAACACCACCACTGTCAAAATTATAACTACAACTACTGCTGCAACCATACCCATCAGTGACATGGCTCAGCCGTAGCGCATTCGCTGCTTGTTGCAGATTCATGGTTATATTTCGACAGGCCACCTTAGTTAATACTGCAGCATATTAACCATGAAATATTACGTGATGTCTGCTGTTTTACAGTGGACGTTATCGATCCAGTGATATCCGTGCAAGAAAAGTAGGCCGTTGTGTGCCGGCAACACAGCTTAAATTGATCAAATTTTTATAATTACTCACATTTGATTCGAAGCTTTCGTGACTGCAGGAATTACTTTTAGTTTTTTTCGGTAAAGTCACGTATAAATAAGAAATAATAAAATAACATAGCGTACGACGTTTCGGTTTGCAACACAAGCAGCCATCATCAGGTACAGAAGAGCTAAATTTACGAGAGAGAGGATACACATAACCCCAGATGTATATACAGACACCCAAGTAGGGGGAACTAACACAGATACAACAGGGGACACAGAGAAGCACACCAAACAAACAGGGTTTAGCAAAATTTGGAAACCATATAAAGCAACACAGACAGTCAGTCAAAACACAATTCACGGCATAGTCTGGTTGATTACGCTATTTCAAAGATTGCTAAATTGCAAGTTAAGTATGAAATTTAAATAGAGAGACCGCACACACACACAGACATCCAAGTAGAGCGAACCAGCACAGAGACACGCACTACAGTGAAGTCGCCTTAAATAGGCAGAGAAGGTAGGCTGAGAGACAAATGGGACAAATTAGCATGAGGTATGCATGGAGCAAAGGGGGGCGCAGCAGCACACACTCGGAAACACCAAGGCCCACACACAGGCAGAGAGCACAGAGACACAAATCCAAGCCAAGACACAAAGGCAGACACAAGCAGAGACAACACAACACAAAGACACAGACCTCATACCTCCCCGTAGAGGTGGTTGTGTGTCTGTATATACATCTGGGGTTACGTGTTTCCTCTCTCGTAAATTTAGCTCTTCTGTATCTGATGATGGCTGCTTGTGTTGCAACCGAAACGTCGTACGCTATTATGTTATTTTATTATTTCTTATTTATATGTGACTTTACCGAAAAAAACAAAGAGTACTCACAAATTACTTAATTGGGAAACACATCACAATTGTTGCCCCCCTACTGCAACGAACTTGGCAGGACCCTCCTGAAAAAAAGAGTTTTGAGCCTCAGTGAAGTTCACTGGAGTAAGTAAATAAATAATAAATAAATACAGCAAACCCTTCCCTCTCACGGGTTTAGTTGTCGCGTTTTGTGTAACGTGTTAAGATACAGTTTGCCAATTGTGACTGACTGCGAGATTCTTGTAAGCATCATAACTGCTTCGCACTGATGCTACCGCAGAAGAACGCATGCGCCATTTTTTCTCCATCTTTTCTTCCAAGCAGCCAATCATGGGTCCCAGGTCACGTGGCATTCCCAGCCTCCAGTGAGGAGGTAGAGAGGTTCAGCCGCATGATTTTTCTTCCTGTACACTACTGTACACTCATTTTTGTTTTCATTCTATACATTTACCATATAAGTTATATTTAACACTAGAAAATATTTATATTTTACGTTAAAAATACTTTGTTTAATGTTTGGGTTGATGGAGAGTAACATAAAACAAAAGGAGGGGGTTTCGTATGAGAGAACGTAACCCCCGCGATGGGCAAGGGTTTTCTGTATTGCATGAGATAACTACGACAGCAAGCGACCGGTTATGTTTAATTGCCTGTGCGGAGGGCTGGGAAGAGGGAGGACTTACCGAAACTGGGAGGCGCCCTCCAGGTGCGCTGGCTTACGCTCCACGGGCCAGCTGTAGGGACAGACGGCACAATCGCGTGTGACGCCTAAGCGTGCGTGCATGTGTCAATGAGTTAACACGCGAATATGCCGGGGCAGAGCACTGATGAGCTGCCACCGCCGAGATTCTGGGTTCAAAATCCAGGTTTAAGGCGCGGATGATGAAACTGGGTTCTCAATTGCAGGGGTGGTCTCAAGCCAGTCGAAAAAGACCACAAAAAAAGTATTGCACTAATTTGGTTTTCACTGCATCCAGCATTCTTCAGATCTGAGGACGATGAATGCCTTGCTTGATTGTCATGTAACGAACACTATTTCAGAAGAATCAGAAATGTATTACCCAAGTAAAGCCCATTGAGGGAAGAAGTTATATTTTTCAAGGGAGTGACTTGGCCGGCAGGCATCAAAGTATTTCCACAATTACAGATTGTAGCATCAGCTTACTCAGCCTGCTCAGACAATGGGTGATGTTGCAGCACTTTCTGAATGAGCTGCAACTGAACGTTCCGTTGATGCACAAGATGGTGCCAGTAGCACAGGTGCAATGTGACTCCTGCAGCAGAGAGACTCAAATTGTTCTCAGAATGTGGGTCTGCACTGTGTCAGCGTGAACGGACATGTGGATGTTTCTGCGTCCACTTGCATGAATCTGTGACCACAATCCTGGTGTAGCGGCATTGTTGAGCGCTGTGTGCGATTGTCACTACTCGCAGCCTGTAGTAACGGCCCTGGGTCAACAAGGGCGGAAGGAAGGCTGATGGGATGAGTCGGGCCGTTTGGCCAAGGTAGCTCGTGACCAGAGGTGCAGACCCCAAACCCCCAAGAGGGGGGCTGGGGGATAACGTCACACTCCAAGCCCCTCGAGATGGTTCCAGAAGAGAGGAGTGGCTAGGGGCGGAGTGAGCCAGGAACTGGGTATAAAAGCCGGACCCCTGAACGGGACCGGCAATTGTTGTCCACTCGAAGATCAAGAAGCTGCCCTGAAGACCTAGGAGCTGGAGCCGGACCCGAGGACCCTGGTTGGGTCGGGTCCGAGCAGCCCGGCGGATAGGACCCGAGGACCTTGGCTGGGTCGGGGTCAGTGTAGCCTCCCTAGACCCCGATAGCGGAGGACTCTATACAGATTGGTCCCGAGTGTATAGGGCACGCCAGTGAGGAGGACGTACCTCCCTAGTGTAGCGGGTGGAAGGGTCCATACCCCTTCGTGTTCTGTATTGTTATTTGTAAAATAAACGTGTTGCCTCTAAAGAGAAGTTTCCCTCTAGGTTGTACCCACTACACAGGTAAGACCTCATTGCAAGAGTGACCTAGCGGCACAACACCACAAGCCATATTCCAAACGGTAACCGTGACGTCCAGGTGCTCGTGGAGTGACATCGGGGATGTCACTGTATGGTGCCGGCCCGGGAGGGTCGTGGCATGCGATGTTTCTACGTCGCGGACAGCACCGGGTGGGTTGCTGTGTGATGCCGGCTTTACTATAGCATGGCGTGCGATTCACCGTCATCGCGTACACCCCGGAGATGGGTGTAGTACCAGCCCTAGCGGGGCTTGGTGAGCGCTGGGATAACGCGGGGCACCACGCATAGCGTGTGGTACGGGCTCCCACCAGGGGGAGCGGGAGAGTGTCAGCCCAGGGGTAGGGTTGCCCCGGGCCATGGCACTCCGGTTGACCCCGCAGACACGTGATCCGGAGTGTCCAGGGCCCAAGTGGGGGGGCTAGGGGGTGACCACGTGTCCGGGGAGAGCTCTCGAAAGGGATCGAGAGGGAGCTAGAACGCTCGAGAAGGCGGGCGGGGCCTGGGCGGAGCCAGCCCCGAACTGGGAGGATGCAAGGTGGGTCCCTGAGAGGGACCGGGGGTCTCTTCGTTCTACAAGCTGGAAGCTCCACGTCAACAAGCTGGAAGCTCTACGTCAACAAGCTGGAAGCTCTACGTCCTATGAGGCATCAACACAAGGCCGGGACCTGAGTGAGGGTCTGACCCTTCGTAGCTGTAACTCCTACATATAGTGTAGTTAGCTAGGTGGTCATCACCCTTTGTTGCCTCTAAAGAATAACGTCTGCGACTCGGTTGGACTCACTACATTTGTAACAGGATAGGAGCACACATATGCACACATTCGTGACGCCACTTGGACAGGCAGGCGAACACAAAGTCGGAGCAGACCACTTCCTTCCAAGATGCAACTGCCTGAGCCGCTCACTCCACTCACCCCGCTCACCTGCCACGTGACGAGTCCCACAGGAGCCAGTCGGCCCCTGCCACGGCGCCAACAGACACCGGGTCCAGGGGGCTCCAGTCGGCCATCATGAGGGGTCGGCTGGGGGCCCCACAGTCCAGGGAGAGCAGCGTGGCCCAGCTCCTCGTGCTGTAGACCTGCACGCGGCCGCCACGCTCGCCCACCAGCAGCTGCGCCACGCACAGCAGCAAAAAAAGCCCCCATTCAACGGGAAGTGGCGGTAATGTCGCCGCAGTGCTTGTGTGCCAGGTTGGGTGCACTTTGAAGTCATCTCATGATATATGGAAGGCTCACTGGCAGATCAAGTGATGGACCCCAGTGTTGTGAGTTGAATGATGATTTATGATGTCTTAAGGCCAATAAAGGGCGACGATTAAAGATTAAGTTTTAAGTTATTTAGCCATTCAGTTGCTTTGTCCCAGAGTTGGTGAAATGCAGATACACCGCCTGCAAAATTAGATTTGGGACAGTGGGATGTTAGGTGATCCATGCTTTGGCATTCATTGCCGCAATCCCACACAAGGAGAGTTCCTTTATTCTCTACTTGGGCATTCGGTGTGGTTTGTGCAGATCCGGTTTAAGTGCTGTCCAGTGTTTCCATGCAAGCCGGACAGTGTGAAGGTGCGGTCGCTGGGCAGGTGTTTGTTGGGCACGCTGCCCGAAGCCCATTCATTGGTCTGTGCCATCTCAATGCTGAAATTCGCATCAAGAAGAGTATGTGCCACACGTTTCCAAAATAATCAAGTTCTGGACATCAGCCGTGGCGTGTCAACTTCTGATCGGTGCAGGAAGGGCTAACTGATTTGACTGGCGCACACACACATAAGCCATGTCTACATGTGTTGCCTTGGTGGACCTTGTGCAGGTGCCTTACCTTGTCAGGCTCTGCGGAACTCCAGCACACACTGGCGCCAGGGGAGAGCAGCGGGAGGCAGACTTGCTGGTCACCAGAGTCATCCCAGATCCTACGAAAACAAGACAAAGATCCCCCCTATAGCCTGAATAGACTTTGGGGCAGGTGCTGTTAGCAAGCACCTATTAAGACCGGCACGGGTGGGTGGCGAGCACTAGGACCGACGCCTTTGTCTCCCCAGTGGCGATGTCTACACACCGCACAAGGTACTCATTTGGAGCTAAGTTGACTTAGTAGGAGGCCCAGGAACGATTCCGATAATCGTCACTGGTGTTGGCCATTAGCGGGAATCGAACTCGGGTCACCAGGTTCGTAGCAGCACACTAACTGTTGCACTACCGCTCCCCAGATCCTATACATGCAACCGCACACACACGACCACAATCACACATGCACTGCGACAACCGCACACCACACCATACCACGACCACAACCATATACAGAGCACCACAACCACACATACTTTGTAGACGAGAGCCCAAGACATCTTTAATCGAACCAACTAATCCATAAAGACGGTATACCCCTTCGTCCTATCGTCTCCACCATTGACTCACCCACCTACAAACTGCCCCGATTTTTGTCTGAGACCTTACAACCATTCACTGGTAAGACCACCACAGCTGTACATAGCTTACTTGGTATCGTTAATTAAGGACATCTCACTATCTCCAGGTGATTGGCTTGTCAGTTTAGATGTGGTCTCTTTGTTTACCAAAGTTCCTGTGCCTGACACCATTGCAATCTGAATGCTGATGTACCGGCCCTGGTTAGACACTGCCTCACCAACACTTACTTCACGTGGAATGGAACATTTTACAAACAAGGTACCCCAATGTGTTCTCCCTTATCTCCAGTTGTAGCCAATGTTTAGATGGAAAAATTTGAGACAGATGCTATCCAGGCATCCACCCTATGTTCTTGTGGAAGAGGTACGTAGATGACACGTTCGTGATTTGGCCACATGGCCTACCAGCTCTGGGCCAATTCTTCAACCACATCAATTCCATACCCTCAGCCATCAAATTCACCATGGAGGTGGAAAAGGATGGCAAGTTACCATTCTTGGATGTCTTAATCGAAAAGAGACCAGATGGCTCAATGGGACACTGTCTACAGGAAAGTCACCCATACGGATGCCTACCTAAAACCTGACTACCACCACCATCCATCCCAGAATAATTCCCTCATCAAAACTCTACACCATAGAGCTCGATGTATTTCCGACCATCACCACCTAGTCAGTGAACTGGAACACATACACCAAGCTCTCAAGATGAATGGCTATTAAAACTACACAATCTGTAAAGCTATCACCCCAACAGTTGGGAAATAACCATCTGAGGACCCAATCAAAACCATCACCTTGTCATACATAGCAGGGGTCACCAAAAATATTACACAGTACATACAATTCGTGGTCTGATCCCATCTGTGAAGGATGTGATCCCTGACATGCAATACTCCGGCATCTACAAACTAAGCCGGACCGTGTTCGTGAACATAAGGTAGATCTGAAACACGGTAGGACCAATACCTCAGCCGTGGCTGATCATTGTTTTAATGCTGTGGGCACACACGAAGACCAAACTACTCTGCAAACCCACTGGCTATCAACACAGATTCGTTCATGAAGCCATCCAGATATATAAACACAGACACAATTTTAACTGAGAAGATGGGTACAAACTGAGCAATCATTGGAAGGACGTTATTAACCAGTTTAAGTCATAACTGGCTGGTGATGTTCCCAGCCTACCACCTTCCAATGTTAGTTATTATTTTCGGCTCTCTGATTTTTTACATTATCAGATAAAATGTCTCACTAACACAGCTACCTCGCGCGCCATCCACGAGAGCTGCTTCACGATCTTCTATTAACATGCTAATCCATTACATTAACATAGTCACCTTGGCACGCTCGCCATGGAGGATGCTTGGCGATCTGTCATTCACATGCTAATCTCTCACATTAACATAGCCACCTTGGCGCACTCGCCATGTAGAAGGCTCGGCGATCTTGCATTGCCATGCCTGGCAGCCCTCTGATTGGTGGAAAGCCCACCACCGCCGCGGTGTCTGCCCATCCACTTGCATTGGCTGTTGACATTTGGGCTATGCCCATTTCAAACCTTTATAAGCAGTTGTCTTTAGAAGCTAACCCCCCTTTTTCTGAAGACGACCGCTTGTGTTGCAATCGAAATGTCGATATTGTTATTTTTTCTGTCTATGTGGCTTTACCGAAAGACCCAAAGAATGAGAGCCCAAGAGTCGGCATGTGGCGCCCCCTCCTGGCCACCGATGTAACTACCCCACGTGGTGACTCCTGGAATAATTTGTTTTTAATTGATCAAAGTATTTCATTCGGGTGGTCCCTTGAGATGGAACCTCTCGCTCACAAGGCAGCCAAGGGTGTGTCCATCGACCTACGCAGAGCAACAACAAGAACTGCCGCTCACCACTAAGTGGCGGTGACAGCATGCACGCATTTTAATGGGGTGGTAACATCTTAAGCGTGCCACAGTTTCAATTTCTAACTTCCACAGTGAGTTAGCAATATTTTATCTTGTTTTATATTTATAGAGCACCGTAGCTCAAAGCGTTTTACATAATTTAAAAGCGTAATCAAAATTATAGTGATTTAGATGGCAGGGGTGTGCAAGGGCCGAGGAATGAGTGACCGTAACAGAGGGCACACGGGGTCACGAAAGGGCAGAGGAGGGACGGGAAGGAGCGGAGGGGCGAGGTGAGGGAAGGGAATCAGAATCAGAATGGGTTTTATTCGCCATGAAAGTTCACACCGACACGAAATTTACTTTGGCAGGATGGTGCATAATTTCAACATATAGGAATCTAAAATCTTAAATAAGTTTTAAACAAGTCTTACTATAATAATAAGGGTTAAAAGTCTAACTAACACCAAGGGGCTGAAGTATATAAAATTGAATAAATATCGAATATAAAATAGCTTTAAGATATAATTTAAAAATAAAAAATACAAATAGGTTAACATAGTTAATATCGGCAAGGTGTCATTATGTAGATAAAATGTTAAAATCAGTGTAAGCCCTTGGCTTGTTTAACAGGCCAGCAGCAGATGGGAAAGAAACTTTTTATGGCGTGAGGTTTTGGTCCTGATGGACCGAAGCCTTCTGCCGGAGGGGAGTAGCTGAAACAGAGAGTGTCCAGGGTGGGAGGAATCGGCCATAATCTTTCTCGCTCGCCTCATGGTCCTTGTCGTGTGCAGGTCCTCGAGGGTTGGTAGATTGCATGCAATTACCTTCTCAGCAGTGTGGATGATACGCTGCAGTCTGCTCTTGTCCTTGGCAGTGGCAGCAGCGTACCAGACGGTTATGGAGGACGTGAGGATGGATTCAATGATCGCTGTATAGAATTGCACCATCATTGTCTTTGGCAGCTTGAATTTCTTCAGCTGCCGTAGAAAGTACATCCTCTGTTGATCTCTCTTGGTGAGGGAGCTGATGTTCAGTTCCCACTTGAGGTCCCGGGAGAGAATAGTCCCCAGGAAGCAGAAGGACTCTACAATTTTGACTGGGGAGTCTAACAGGGTGATGGGGGTGAGTGGGGCTGTATTCTTCCTGAAGTCCACAACCATCTCAACTGTCTTTAGAGCATTTAGCTCTAGGTTGTTCTGGTTACACCAGGTCACCAGGTTGTCAGCTTCCCACCTATAGTCAGACTCATCCCCACCAGAGATCAGCCCAATGAGGGTGGTGTCGTCCGCAAACTTCAAGAGTTTGACGGACAGACGATTGGAGGTGCAGCTGTTGGTATACAGGGAGAAGAGCAGTGGGGAAAGGACGCAGCCCTGAGGAGTTCCAGTGCTGATGGACCTGGAGTCAGAGACTTGAGTTCCCAGCTTAACGCACTGCTTCCTGTCAGGAAGTCTGTAAACCACCTGCAGGTGGAGTAGGGCACGTTCAGCTGGAAGAGCTTGTCCTGAAGCAGGGCAGGGATGATGGTGTTGAAGGCAGAGCTGAAGTCCACAAACAGGATCCTAGCGTAGGATGCTGGGGCATCCAGATGCTGTAGGGTGAAGTGGAGGGCCATGTTAACTGCGTCGTCCACAGGCCTGTTGGCTCTGTAGGCAAACTGAAGGGGGTCCAGGAGAGGGTCTGTGATGGCTTTGAGGTGTGCCAGGACCAGGCGCTCAAAAGACTTCATTACCACAGATGTAAGGGCGACCGGTCTGTAATCATTTAGTCCTGTTGGCCTTAGCTTTTTGGGCACAGGGATGATGGTGGAAGACTTGAGACAGGCTGGTACATGGCATGTCTCCAGGGAGGTGTTAAAGATGTTGGTGAACACCGGAGACAGCTGGTCAGCGCAGTGCCTGAGGGTGGCTGGAGAGACAGAGTCCGGCCCGGCTGTTTTGCGTGGATTCTGCCTCTTGAAAAGTCTATTAACTTCTCCCTCCTGAAAGGAGAGAGTCGTCTCTGTAGTATGAGTGGGGGATGGGGCCTCTTGGGTGGGAAGGGGTGGTTCAGGACAGTCCAATTGTCTTTCAAATCTACAGTAGAACTCGTTCAGGTCGTTGGCTAGGCAGGAGTCGTTAGTGGTATGGGGGGCTCTGGGTTTGTAGTTGGTGATCTGCCTGAGCCCTCTCCAGACAGAAGCAGAGTCGTTAGTAGAGAACTGGTGGTTTAGTCTTTCTGAGTACAGTCGTTTAGCCTCTCTCACCGCTTTGCTAAACCTGTTCTTCGACTCCTTGAATCTGTCTCTATCCCCACTCCTAAACGCTTCCTCCTTCTCCAACCTCAATCTTCTCAGCTTTGCTGAGAACCAGGGCTTGTTGTTGTTGAAGTTCACCCTGGTACGTGTTGGGATACAACAGTCCTCACAGAAGCTGATGTAGGACGTCACAGCCTCTGTGAGTTCATCCAGATTATTGGTAGCAGTCGTGAACATATCCCAGTCAGTACAGTCTAAGCACGCCCGCAAATCTTCCACAGCCTCACTGGTCCACTGTTTAGATGTCCTCACAGCAGGTTTACAGAGTTTTAGTTTCTGCCTGTATGCAGGAATCAGGTG